TCGGTGGCCGGTCCTCGCAACCGAGACGGCGAAGCGTTGTGACTCGTGTCATTGCTGGGTTTTTGTGGTGTGTGTGTGTGCCACGTGTGTTGCCGTGTCTTTTCGTAGTTTTCTATGCCATCTCCGCTTATCGAAACCGATGTGTTTATGATTTGCTATGTGATATGCGGAGTAACACCCGTCTACACTTTCGATTTCGAACATCTGTTTAATACGGGTGTGCAACTATCATACATGAAAGTGTTTTTACACGTAGAGTCTTTGTGACGTCATACATAGTTTAATTGTCACCTACGTTTAATCAGCCGAAAAGCCTGGAGGGCGGAAAAAAATTGCGACTAAACCCACTGAAACACGATTAAGCACCCTCTGGCTTCTCAAAAGCAAAACCGCCCCACAGGCAGCAATCCAGGCATGGCTACCTGCCTATTGAAGAGTGAAGTTTTTTCTTCTTCTTTAAGTCTGCGTTTTTATTAATTTGTTTCGCTCACGGACGAAAAAGGACGCGTTTCCTGTCCAAGGGAACTTGGTGTTGTGCTCGCATTGCACAGAAGTGGCCACCAATACAGAGCAGACTTTCCTCACATGTACATCCTGATCTGATCGTCACGAATGCCTCTCGTGGCCTTGCGGCCGAGGTCGAGAAGTTTATAACGTCATCGGTATTCCGTCGGCTGGTGTGGCGTCACAAACGCACCGACACAGAAATCAACATCCGTGTCACCGCTAGACCAACAATAATCGTAGACCAATCGAATGATACGGATTGTTTAGAATTTTCGAAAAGATGTTTGGTCCACCTTCTCTCCGAGAGAGGACTCTCCGAGTTTATTGAGTCGAGCACCTCCATTCCCGTGGTTGAACTATACTATATATATCAAGTAATTACTATATGCGTGAATCCATCTCTACATTTATGGACCAATCATTTTATGTTATCATATCAATAGTACACATCAAATTTCATTATCAGTCACCATAATCTACACTAATTATGTATATTCAATATCAAACACTATATTCCCTCATAAACATTTTATAGGGTTTACTTATTTTATGACGAATGTCAAGACAAAATATTACCACACAACTTATTCATATATTATGTATTGTGACATTTTATAGGCTACTAGAATTGGAAGTACAAACGAGAAGTTTCACGATGATGTCTATACTTACTGGAAAATTTGAAAGGTGGTAGTATAAACTTTTTTCTAGAAGGGCCCCCCTCGTAGGAGGGGAGTGCCTGGGGGGCTCCTCCCAATCAGGAGGATGATATTTTAGTACAAGTATACCCCCCATCTCAATGAATTTTAGAAACGTGTGTAGAACACCAGGTATTGTAACATAGCAAAAATCCACCAGCTACGGTGATAGGCACACACAAACATAGGATGTGGTGGCGGTCTGCGGGGGAGCCAGGGGGAAGTGGGAAAGCATGGGCCAACCCTGGTGCATGCACATACACACAGCTAGTGAAGCAGGAAGCTCCAAATCCTACACCCCCCTCGGAGATGCGAGAACACACACAGGCACACTGGGGGAAGGGGCTGCTTCTGCTGCTCTAATTAAAACAGTAGCAGCGTACCTCAGCCTGCCTATAACAGTGCCTTAATAAAGGGAACAGTAAAGAAGAAAAGACACAGGCAATATCGTGCGTCACAAATAAACACGGTTTGCTGCTGGGGGGTTAGGGGAGGGGGCTTCGACTGTGTACGGGGAAAGGAGGTAGAGAGTGGGATATAGGCAGAGAGGATGTGGTCTGCACAGCGTGTTAGGACCAGAGTGCAAACCACAACCAAGCCTTTATCACGTTGGTCAAACTGCTGCATGCACACACACTGACCAATCCCAGCATGCCGTGCTAGTTGCTGGCACCAGCACACCGCTCTCCTCCGGCACACCACAACAACAGCGGCCCACAGCATGCATAAACACTTGCACACAAACGACACGCAGACCGCACAATCACGTGCTTAACACCTGACCCCGAGTAAAAGTTGTCAGTTGGTGAACCGTGATTGGTCTGATAACACAAACACACAGTGCTATCTTTCGATGAGTTTCCTCCTGAGCTCCTTCAGTTGTGGCTGTTGAGACCAGAATGCATTTCATACGCCACTGATGTTTTCCACAGCAAACCACCGACGGAACATTTCATCACATCTACCTTTTCATTGTTTCCATGTGTGACAAAGACAACCAACTGACTGTTTATTTTGCATTGTTCAAAAACTTTAAGTTCAGTGAACTGGTGAAAAACATTTAAACTGCTGGAAAACATAAAGAAAGCTGCACTGATCCGGTCAGATCCACATTAATGTGATATCTTACCTCCAGGATGAAAGGCAGCACCGGTACAAATGTGTTGGTGCTGCCGGACAGCAGGGTGAGGGCTTTGCAGCAGTGCATCCTCAGGGGGTAATATCTGGATGTCGGCACTAGTCTGTGCAGAGGAAGAAAACATTGGTCAATGTCTCCACCTGCTGTTGGCTAAATATACAGTGAAAATGGTGGCTCCTCACTAATAAGTGAAATACGGTTGTGCTGCATTGTACGTAACAATTTAGGAGGTAACCAATTAGTCAAGATATAAGACTTGATGATGAGACCTAATCTTTTTTGTATCGTTAGCTTAAACTAGTTACAGCTCTGTCAGGTAGTGTGTATATATATATATATATATATATATATATATATACACATACACACATACACACATATATATACACACACACACTACTAAAATGTATATATATATATATATATATATACACACACATACATATATACACACACACACATTTTAAATGTACTGTACAAACTTTCTTTTTTTGGCAACAAAGAGTGCTGGAGGCAAGGCATTTCAAAGTCCAACAGTAAACAAACAACTAACATATATTCTTATTAAATATATGTTAAGGGCTGGGTGAGCTGGGGCATCGCATTTGATTGTACAATTTTACTTTTTAATATATACAAAAATAAACTAAAACAGATGTTACCCTAAGTCCTTTCTACCGCTTTAAGTACTATACGGATGAATATTGAAGCACCACTGCCGTCCTCTGTGCATCATTTATCACTTTTTCATTGAATTCTGTCACAAACAGTTTGGTCACAGCAGGAGACTCTTTGTTCTCACTTCCTAGCTGTTCATTTGCTGCTGTGAGTTTAATGTTGGCGTCTGAAGCTGCAGTTGATATTAACTGTAATTCAGAAGAAAACTAAAAGCAGGTTTTAGTTGCGGCATTTTACTTCAGGTGCTGGTGAGCCAATGAAAACAATTCAGTATCACCGCCTCCATGACACATCCATGACTTTAAGGTTCATCACATATCAAAACACTGCAAATATTTATTTGGTTGTGAGGTCTTAAAGTGCTTATCACATAAAAAAATAGCTGAATAACTAGGTATTTCTAAAAAGTATGGGTGTTCTAAATCAGCAGCTGCTTTTTAGAACTAGAGCTACTTATGAGAAATGATTTGTTTATTTGCCACTATCACTTGTCTGAAAATAATATAACTTAATGTGTGGACCCAAACATGTGACAAAATAACAAAATGATTAAAAGAAAAATCAATTATGAATACAAGCCGCAGCCATGCGTTGTTTGCATGGCTGCAGCAAATGGCTAACTGCTACATTTAGAAGATTATAGTGCATTAATCACACAGAGCAATATTACAACCAGATAGAATCTCTGCTTTTTCCACATTTGTATTGATCATTGTCCAACATGGACATGGACGTTTAAAACTATATTTAAATATAAAAGTGCATATAGATATACTCACTTCACGGTGCCAATTATGACTTGGCAGAGTGGATAGATGAGAGGCTGGAGTACATCACTGGGGTGCAAGGTGCTGAGGACTCGACACCAGAGGGACAGACAGTGGATGTACTGCCAGTTATACACCGACTGGTACGTTTCCTACAGAACACAGGGACAATCAGATTGGTATTATAGTTACTGTGGCCCTGAAGTGCAAGACACCACAGCATTTCAGAAAACGCCACAGCATTTCAGATAACGCCACAGCTTTTCAGATAACGCCACAGCTTTTCAGATAACGCCACAGCTTTTCAGAAAAAATAACAGCATTTCACAAAACACAACAGCATTTCAGAAAACGCCACAGCTTTTCAGAAAACGCCACAGCATTTCAGAAAACATAAAAGCATTTCACATTGGACGGAAAGGGTATTCCTTTAGGGAGAACACTTATTGTTTGTGATTGGACAGAGCCAGCCAGAGAAGCACTGCTGTGATTGGTTGTTTTTGCTGCCAGTCAAGAAATGACGCGTCGTGATTGGTCAACGCCCGACAGCGCAATATGCCCCAACGTGGTCCGAACACATCAGCCGTTAGCACACAATCAGAGCTCACAGCTCCTCATATCTGTTCAGAAACTGGACAAAAGTTAAACATGTACAAACCACAGACTGTCTGTGTCATGGCTAATACAGTCGCTGCTATGTCTGTATGACGTTGTTGTGAGTGTGGACGGAGCAGCTACATGTTAGTTTAGCCTGATCGATCCGATCCCGGTAGGATTTACATGGAGATACCATGTAAATTCCTATACCAACTACAACAAAATGAACATATTTGACCGTGATTTAAATTGTAATGCACGTTTCAAAGTGATGCCGAAGTAACTACATACTGATAACGGTTAGTAAAAACCATGAATTAACGCTTTGACAAGTCTGCAGACAAGACGGCAGGCGAAAAGCTTATAAAATGCGTGTTTTCTGAATTGAATCGGATCCATCAGGCTAAACTAACCTGTAGCTGCTCCATCCACACTCACAACAACGTCATACACTCATAAATAAAGCAGCGACTGTATTAGCCATGACACAGACAGTCTGTGGTTTGTACATGTTTAACTTTTGTCCAGTTTCTGAACAGATATGAGGAGCTGTGAGCTCTGAGTGTGTGCTAACGGCTGATGTGTTGGGACCACGTTGGGACATATTGCGCTGTCGGGCGTTGACCAATCACGAAGCGTCATTTCTTGGCAGCAAAAACAACCAATCACAGCCGGGCTTCTCTGGCTGGCTCTGTCCAGTCACAAACAAGAAGTGTTCTCCCTAAAGGAATACCCTTTCCGTCCAATGTGAAATGCTGTGGTGTTTTGTGAAATGCTGTGGCGTTTTGTGAAATGCTGTGGAGTTTTCTGAAATGCTGTGGAGTTTTCTGAACTGCTGTGGTGTCTTGCACTTCAGGGCCACCGTATATAGTAGCTAAACAGTGAATCTCCATTTGAACTGAACCCTGAGTGTCTTTCTGTTGAGATGTGTTGTGCATGAACAGGCTCAGTAACAGAAGGGTCGGCAGTTCAAGTCCTGATAGGATAAAATACAAAGGCTGGACTGGTAGCTTGAGAGGTGCCAGTTCACCTCCTTGGGACTGCCCAGGTGTTCTTGAGCAAGTCAACAAACCCCCAACTGCTCCATGGGGCTGAACCATTGGCAGCCTCTTTGCTCAGACACCTCTCCACTAATACATGAGAATAGATCCCGTTTGTGCATGTGTTTATTTAAGGCCTATGTGTGTTAGTAACCACAGAGTAAAAAACAGAATTCATATAATAAAGTATGTCTTAATATTGATCTTATTCTTAAAATATGTCTAAGCAGACAATCTCCCAGTGCACACACAGACACAAATGTACCTTTTTCTTCATGGTCATGGCGTTTCTGAGGTGGATGGCCAGCTGTCGGATGTAGATGAAGGCGTGCTGGTAAGTGGCCTGTGTGTCCAGCGAGTACATCTCTGTGAGAGTTCGCTGCATGAAGTTGATCATGGGCAGCACATTGGGAGAGGTGAACTTACAGTTTTGTACATAGGAGATGTACATTTGCTGCAAAAAAGAACGAAAAAAGTAAGAGATACAAATATAATTTTTTTTGACACACCCGATTTTTTTTTTATATAAATACTCTCTGCAGGTCACTGTTGCCTTGACGTCCTGGTTAACTGTGCACCCTTTTATCCCTGTATCACTCTGATTTAGGCTCACCTTGAGAATAGGGTTGAGATATGTGTCCTGTTTATGTCTGCAGATTTTGTTGAGGGCCAGGAAGGCGAGAACCCGACTCGTCTCCTCCCCTGTGCTCCACTGCTTCATCAGTTGCTGCACACAAAAACATGGGATGAATTAGAGGCTCAAAATTACATCAGAAACCAAATGAATTCAGCATTCGTTTAATGCAGACACTTCACAACATCTTATGATAACTACTGACTTACCTTAACCAGATGACGACATTGTTTAGGGAGACAAAGGTAATAAGGTGCGAGCTGGTTGGCGTGCCGCAGGACAGCGCTGATCACTGTGGCCTCCGTCAGGCAGGATAACAGCTACAAGTGGAGAAAGGAACAAAAGAGAGGAAAACGGAGATCAATACAGGCGCGTTTTGAGGATGCAGAAGGACAAGAAGGAGGACTTATCATGGTGTGTGCAACTCTGTTATAAATGTACTGTTCCGTGTCAAAGAAAATACACATTTCTCTGCACTTTATCTAGTGTATGTTTTCACGTCTACCTCACCTGTTAACAAGAGGCAGAACTCAAAGATCGAAAAAGCACAGACAGACATGTGAGAGACGCTTGAAGAGACAGAAAAACAAACCTGAACTACTCCACTGAGATACATCTTGATGTCAACCTGATTCTTTTGCCACTTTGGACTAGATGATGGAAGCACTAGCCTGAGAACAAAACAGAAGTCAGGACTTTAGCTTCATAAAGACTTTAAACAGAAGGCAATTTTGATCCAATTCATACTTTTTCTGGTCTTTTTCTGGCTTCAGGTTGAGCATCCTCTGCAGGGCCACGTAAACATCTCTGATACAGAAGATGACCAGGGAGTTGAACACTGTAGACAGTACAGGTAAAGAGATATTTATGTTGATATATATATATCTTAGATATTTAAATTGTGTGTTGTAACACTCACTGAAAGTGTTTTATAAAAAATGATGTGAAACGTTGGTGCTGAAGTGGAGAATCAAATGCTTTTGGTTTTTACCATATCTGGTTGTTGTAGTGGTTACATGTGTTTTATGCAATGCATGGAGGAGTTTCTTTTTTGTTTTACACAATAGGTAAATGGTACAGCAAACAAATACAGTAGTATAGTACCTATACGTTGTCGTTGTTGTTATTATTATTATTATTATTATTACGCAGGTTTTTAACTGCATTTGAAATGTATGAAAGTGTGACACCACCACAGTCAAAATGTAAAAGTGCAAACCCGGCACTAATAATATTTAGAGCAAACATTTTAGAAAACAGCTTTTAATTAATTTTTAAGGTTAAACTTAACAAAATGTGTGTATGGTGAAAAAAAATGAATTAAAAAAAAACAATACTTTTTGGATTTAACAGAAAGGTGTCCATTATATTGCTTTTAATATCTTCCTACGAAAGCTGTCATCGTAAATGTATTGTATCTGGTGTGTTCTAAAGTTACATCCAAATTCTGTCAAATATTGACAATTTTTTCTGCATATATTTTTCGTGTATTACAATATATTATTATAATAACAATGTATCATCGAAGTGATGATGCTATACCTTTTCCATAGGATAGTAACAGTTTAAATACAAATATCCAACATGGTACCCTACCTGAACTGTCGGCCACTTTGTACCGACACTGCGCCCCTCCCTCGCCCTTTGTTGTAGCCACGGCGGCCTTAAAGGCCTGGGTGACTTCTCTGAAGAGTCGAGGTGTGGGTTCCTTCTTCATAGCATCTTTCCACTCTTCAACCATTTTGTCTGTGACTTTGATAATCTCCACTCCCTTCTTGGATTTCTTTGAAGCCTTTGAGCCCTCTGCACCCCCTTCGTCGTCGTCTTCATCATCAGAGTCGTCCTCCTAAAGGCAAAACACCACAGTATGAAGTAATTTCACAAGAGAACTCAGCATAAACTAAGACACACCAGCAGCGGGCCTACCTCAAGTTTGGACGGCAATTTGTGATATTTTTTCTCGTCCTCATCCTCAGAGCTGTCTGTGTCATCAAAGTTTAGCAGTGTTTGGTCGTTTGCTTGCAGAAACTTGTAGAACTCCGGATCTTTGTTCTTTAACCTGGACAGCTGCTCCTTGTGCTGACTGGCCTTACCTTTCTTATCATCTCTATAGAGAAAAAAAAGCACAACAAACGTGTGATGTTTGAAGGTTTCGCTGGGACTAGGGGGTAGAAAGTAAGGAAGGCAGGAAATTGCCTCCTTCCTGCTTTAGTGTTCAAAATAATCCTTGCCATAGATTTGTAATAAATTATAACTCCATAATTATAAAAAGCAATATAGCAGTTAAACAAGTGTCTAATACATTAAACATGAAAGTAAGACATAAATAGTAAGATAAATTAACTAAAATAGGTGCACGTTATTCAATATAATACTTCACATGTTACTATCACTATCAAAATGATACAGTTTATGAAGCCATCGCAAAGCACTCACGTCTCAAAGGCTGCAGATTTCTTCTTATCGAGACCATTCTGTTTTTTTGTCTCATCTTCAGAGTCATCTTCTCCTGCAGAATCTAAAGCTGTCAGCAGGAACTCGTCCATGCTGAGGTCCTCCAACTTCCTACAAAGAAGGACACCAGTTTAACAAAGTTAGCAGAGCAACATGTGGGGGGGGACATATGTGTTACATGTTCTATCTACAGTATACAGCGTCCATTCAAACGTTTGCTTTTCAGCTGACAGCTTAACTTTCTTTAATACAAATAAAGCTGTTATTTTAACACAAAGAGAAAGGACCGAACATGTAGAGCCTTACGTTTGAGTCAAGCTAGAGGTAGCTGCTTCCAAGCTCTCATAACACTAAGCTAGCGTTAAGCTAGGATAGTTTCGGACACAATGTTAGCTAAAAACGAGTCTTAAGACCCACACAAATACAACGACTGGATTGACAATACTATATTTAGTAAAAACGACACATATTTGCCGTTATAACTCGTATAATACAACACATATTATAGAACATTTGTACACAAACCTTTTCTGTTTGGCTGCCATGCTGGATCCTAAAAACGTGATGCGTGAGACTCTGAAACCTCATTACCCACAACTCCCCGCTGCAAAATGAAGAGGTTGGTTTTATGGTTCATGGTGCTCACTATTGCTACAGCAGGATACTTCCATCATTATGAAACAAAACACCGTGTAATTTATTATAATGAGACACTTGTTCGAATAATGCCTTAGTAAACCCCCAAATGACTGCAGTATCGAAACATATTGACGAATGACAAGGTAACTCTAAGGTAATTATTATAATGTTTATCATTATTTGCAATACAACATCATTACTTCACAAAAATACATTATATATACACAGATTATTGCTAGTTTGAGGTTCTCAGTCATTATGTTTTATTGTAATGACTACCAGGACCTCTTTTTTTATCAAAAGGCTAATCGAACCTGAAATAATAAAAAAACAGTCGGCGGTCACGACAACCTCGATATTTCACTGTCAAAACTGCACAGTGCTGAGTGCACACAAGAACAAGCAGTGTTTTGATGCTGCACGTGAATTTATATTAAATGAACAGCTGCATCCATTAGATAAAGTTTGCTGACGAATCGCAGATCAACGATCTTGCTTTTTAGGTTATAATCGGTTGCGTAACACAGCCACAAAGCTGGGCAAGTTTAAAAACCGGAGGGTATCATTGCTGTCACATCGACACCGACGACGGCTGGTGGTGAGTCCTTCAGAGCTAACATTAGCTACCACTAACAAATAGCATTGGTTATACATATGCAACAAATTAAGCAGCCGTGACTTTTATTTTATTCAAACAGAAGAAAAACAAATTCAGTGTCAACAAATGTATCGCCTTGGAATTGTATGATTATAAACAGTCCAACCTTTTGGAAAATTGGGTTCGTGTCTTGTACGCTGTTTGTTTGATTTGTTGACTGGGGTAACCGAGGCGGGGGTGGTTCAAGTTCTGACCAATCATGGAGCTTCTAAGTAAAACCCCGCCTTTCGCACTCGCCTAGATTCTTTTATCGAACGCACTTCCGCACTCTGACCAGACAAAAGGGGATGCTTAAGGTAGTATGTGTCACGTCAAATTATAAACAAACAACCATTGCAAATGTTTGAAATTTGGATTAAGAACAGATTCCTGTGTATTTCTAAAGTGCAACACCTGCCTCACTGCACCATATTTCAGCATAGCTTTTTTCACCGCCTGCAGTTTCAGCACCACCTTAACAAACCGATGTCAGATTTCATGCAGTTTTTTTGCATTGACGTCAACCGCATACAGCACGAAACGGAGGCTTTCTTCTTATTTCGTATGCCTGAGTAAGAATATGGACAGAAAGCCAGACACTGGTAACACTTTTAAACCAATCTGACTGCGACAGCTGATGACTTATCTCCCATCACTGTGAGGAAGATACTGCGTCCAAGGATAACCGCAACACAACCACCGGTAAAGGAATGACACATTCATTCTGCAGCAGCTGATAGCTGTTGTTATTCAAAATAGATGGAGTGGGTGTTGGGGTGAAACACCATTATGTCCAAAAAAGATTACAATGCAACATTTGTGTATCCATCAAGAGTGTGCATGTCTGTTAAGAAGCCAGAGTCTTTGTGTGGATGCTAGGCAAGGTTTATAAGCCAGAGCGAGGAGAGATTTTAAGAGACAAGCCTGGGATGGACAGGACAAGTGCTTCACTCTGTTACTTTTAACTGTGACAATTATTATATTTTTACTTCTTCCTCAAACTGCTGTTTATTCATGTCTGTATGCCACATTGTCTCTTTATTATTCCCTGAGGCATGAGAGCAGATTGTTCCCTCACAGAGGAACATGGTTGGTGTGTTTTTGTGGTCCATTGTGTTTTGGAAAATGGGACCCCGGAGCTAGTCGCCAGGCAGCTGTGGTGACATATGAGATGATTCTCTTTGGGCAGTGCAGAGTAGTTGAAAGAGTGCCTCTGAACAGATGACAACATAATTATGAAGCATTTATACTAAATGAATTGTGTATTTAGGCAGAGAGAGACCTGCACTCAACTTAAGAAGACTCAATTACATGTGTGTTGTGTTTTTAGCTTAAGTGTTTTATTAATTGGCCTCAAACTGATCAATATTCTTCATTTACGAGTCAGTGGTGGCTGCCTGTGTGTTCTCATAGACTTGTGTTATCGTCAAACAACCTCCTCCTTATATATACACAAACATGAATAATGAATTTAAAATGAAAAGCATCACCAGAGGGCACTTAAGGATATTTTAACCATACATTATGTGGAGGCTCTCCATGAAAGAAGTTTGGAATAACTGGCTTATACTTTTCAAACCCATTGGCTTCTGCTCATATGCCCTTTTCTTCACACCTGTAATGTATCCAATTCAGTATGTTGGAGTCAATATAGATTTCCTGATTTGTTTAGGCCTGTGATGTACTAGTCTGGTTAACCTCCATCTAGTATTAGCATTGGTGTATCCTAAATAATATTCATCAGACTACAACTCCTAAGATAACGTGTGACAAGGGTTATGCAACATTTTGAAGTGCGTTCTCCATCAGAGAGCCTGTTGGATGAGAGTACAAGGGAAAGGGCTAACTCAGGCTACATCCTCCTCTCCTCCTACCCTGCCTAACCAAAGGCTGCAGCTGGGGTGAGATTTGGGGGTTTCACAGCTAATTCTGGTGGAAATACACTTGATAATGGGAGTCATTGCAACTAAATAAACCAAGACTGTCCAATAGATTAGAAGCATGCATTGATACAAACCAGTAGAGTATGAGTAATAATGACACCCGGTGTCAAATATTCAGGCCAGCCAACCTACTACACTTTGTAACTGTACTGAGATTTCTGTCATGGTAGTTGGCTTCCTGCCACAGCTGTCAGGACGGTCACTATCACAGAAACAATAGGTACAATGATTGTCATAACACCTCCCAGCAGATCAAGTAAGCGTTGCAGGTTAACATTTTCTGATGACAAAATACATTTTTATAAGTTAATGACATTGGTATAAACTGGCATGAAAATGTTTTTTCTGTTAATTCCAGTTGCGGCCAAGGCAAGAGCCAGCAACGTCCAGCACCATGATGGAGGGGGGCATGCAGCTGCTCAACCGCGATGGCCACAGCATCTCACACAACTCTAAGCGCCACTACCACGACTCCTTCGTGTCCATGAACCGGATGCGACAACGTGGCCTGCTGTGTGACATTGTGCTGCATGTCTCTAACAAAGAAATCAAGGCGCACAAAGTGGTGCTGGCATCCTGCAGCCCCTACTTCCATGCTATGTTTACCAGTAAGTTCAGTCTGACTCTGCTTAGCAGTGTTTCCCACAGATTTGAAATATACTTGGGGGGGTGGTGGTAGCGGGGGGGGGTTACTATTGTTAAAAAAAATGGTAAATGTATTTAGGAACCTATCCATGTGATTTTTAAGCGGGGGTGGACCTCAAATCGTCTAGGGGGGTCAGGTGGGCATGCTCCCCCGGTCAGATATTTTTTTAAATGTTGGAATTAACTGCATCAATCTGGTGCATTTTGAGGGCAAAATGAAGAGACTAGATCTATGGGAACACCTATATGAAACAGAACTGTATACATTTAAATAATCATAAAATCAGGGCCATAACCAATAACATATCCAATATGAAAAAACACTGACGTCCTCAAATGAAAATATGTGTTTACATAAATGGTGACCAAACCGTTTGAGACCCACTGAGAACTTAGACTAAGTTAACTATCTAAACACTCAAGAGTCCTTTACCTCACCTGAGCTGAAGTTATCCGCGAGCTTGAATGACAGCACAGGGAGACCCAATCAATGGGCTTGATTTAATGATCTGATGACAGTGGCCATGTCGGCAGGCACAACATCAATTAGACAGCAGTCACCCTGTGTGGAGCAGGCCACTTAACAGGCCAGGCCATCGGGAAACCCCCGGTCCTCCCGATGTCCAGTCCGGACCTGGGTACAGGAGTGCGTAGAGCTAGGGATCCATTGGTCCACAAGTTAATCGATCGCAGATTGCGTCGTGGTCTGCCCCCCCAAGTATAGTCTATGTTGGGAAACCCTGGCTTTAAGTTTGTGCTTTATCCCTGAAACTCATGCAGAGCACGGCATGTTTTCTATGCCTCAGACATTGGCATCATTTGGCTCTGTTGCTCAGAGTTTGATAGTTCCCAACAATGTGTGCAGTGAAGGTCACCTCATCCTTTTAAGCATCACGGCTTCCTTCCCCCCTTTTCCGTCTGGGGCACAGGTGGTCAGTTGAGGTGTGTGTGAGTTTTACATTTCCTCTCATTACTAGAGTCCTTGAGGCTACAATGGTTCTCCTAGATATTTCCACTTGTCTGGCTTTCAGACTCAACTGCTAGGATACTTCTTGTCGGACCCCAGTCACTTAGACCATTTGAACAGAATCGCACATCTTTCACTATCATCAGAAACAGCTAACTCACAGTTCTCTGTAGAAATGTGCTTGTAATATCGCTAATGTATAAGTGATGAAACATTTGCTTGTCGATAAATGCTGAAAAATGAATTTGAAATGTATCAAAGTTCAAATATTGAATAATAAATATATATATAGTATATAATATTTATATTATATATATATGAATAGCAAGAATGGCAACATTTGTTAAATTGTGAAATATTTTCTAAATTCGATAAGATCAGGGACTCTTGAGTGTTTAGATAGTTAACTTAGTCTAAGTTCTCAGTGGGTCTCAAACGGTTTGGTCACCATTTATGTAAACACATATTTTCATTTGAGGACGTCAGTGTTTTTTCATATTGGATATGTTATTGGTTATGGCCCTGATTTTATGATTATTTAAATGTATACAGTTCTGTTTCATATAGGTGTTCCCATAGATCTAGTCTCTTCATTTTGCCCTCAAAATGCACCAGATTGATGCAGTTAATTCCAACATTTAAAAAAATATCTGACCGGGGGAGCATGCCCACCTGACCCCCCTAGACGATTTGAGGTCCACCCCCGCTTAAAAATCACATGGATAGGTTCCTAAATACATTTACCATTTTTTTTAACAATAGTAACCCCCCCCCGCTACCACCACCCCCCCAAGTATATTTCAAATCTGTGGGAAACACTGCTAAGCAGAGTCAGACTGAACTTACTGGTAAACATAGCATGGAAGTAGGGGCTGCAGGATGCCAGCACCACTTTGTGCGCCTTGATTTCTTTGTTAGAGACATGCAGCACAATGTCACACAGCAGGCCACGTTGTCGCATCCGGTTCATGGACACGAAGGAGTCGTGGTAGTGGCGCTTAGAGTTGTGTGAGATGCTGTGGCCATCGCGGTTGAGCAGCTGCATGCCCCCCTCCATCATGGTGCTGGACGTTGCTGGCTCTTGCCTTGGCCGCAACTGGAATTAACAGAAAAAACATTTTCATGCCAGTTTATACCAATGTCATTAACTTATAAAAATGTATTTTGTCATCAGAAAATGTTAACCTGCAACGCTTACTTGATCTGCTGGGAGGTGTTATGACAATCATTGTACCTATTGTTTCTGTGATAGTGACCGTCCTGACAGCTGTGGCAGGAAGCCAACTACCATGACAGAAATCTCAGTACAGTTACAAAGTGTAGTAGGTTGGCTGGCCTGAATATTTGACACCGGGTGTCATTATTACTCATACTCTACTGGTTTGTATCATGGCCATGCTTCTCAATCTATTGGACAGTCTGGTTTATTTAGTTGCAATGACTCCCGGATTATCAAGGTGTTATTTCCACCAAGAAATTAGCTTTGTGAAACCCCCAAATCTCACCCCAGGCTGCAGCCTTTGCGTTGTAGGCAGGGTAGGGAGGAGCAGGAGGGAGTGTAGTCCTGAGTTACCCTTTTTTTTTTCCCCCTTGTACTTCTCATCCAACAGGCTTCTCTGATGCCGAGAACGCACTTTTTCAAAATGTTGCGATAACCCTTGGTACACGTTTATCTTAGGAGTTGCTAGTGCTGATGAATATGATATTTAGGGATACACCAATGCTAATACGTAGATGGAGGCGTTAACCAGACTAAGGTGACATCACAGCCTAAACGAGAATCGAGGAAATCTATATTGACTCCAACAACTGAATTGGATTACATTACAGGTGTGAAGCAAAAGGGCATATGAGGCAGAAGCCAATGGGTTTGCAAAAGTATAGCCCAGTTATTCCAAACTTCTTTCATTGGAGAGCCTCCACGATAATGTATGCGTTAAAATATCCTTAAGTGGCCCTCTGGTGGATGGCTTTTCATTTTAAATTGCATGTATTCAGTGTTTTGTGCGTATATATAGGAGCGGAG